TTTATCCAAGGTAGGCTACATGATTTGGCATTGCATGTCATGGAGCTATTTTTATTATATCCTACTTATTTGAACTTTTGAGCTTGTTTGATGTGTTCACCTTTTGATTACAAAAATAGGATAGATCTATACTTTTTATTCTTTTGTTGAGATTACCATACATTGTTTTGTTAACAAAAACCTCTTTCGTTCACTTTGACATGACAACAGTATGATCTGGAAGCAATTTAAAGTCCTTTACTGAATCTGCAACGAAAACTGTTGACATTCTTGGGTTTTTATATGATGATATTGATAGCATCATATAATATATTCTCCATTCAGCTTGAGACTTGAGCTTTCTTCTTCTACGGGTGGTTGGCGGGTGCTCTAGTGTGGTTTATTTCTTCTTTCTTATCAAACATCTATTGTCTTTATCGCCCCTCCTTTTTGTGTTTGTTTCTGTCTTGTAAAACCTTCAATCTTTGGCACTTTTAGACCTGATTGTGTTGCAAGTGCCTTAAAACGCTAACTAATTACCAAACTAAACTTCTCTTGAATTCTTTTTTTAAATTGTATATTATATATATATATATATATATATATATATATATATATACACATATATATATATATACATGATGTATAATATATAAAATAGAGATCAGGGGACATCACTAGCACAGCCATGCACTACTTTCATTAATGTTTTATTACAATGTCAGCCTACTCCCCTTCATGTCAATACTTACTGCAGTGTTTTAGTTTCAGTAAAGGTTCCGAAGGGGGCTCTTGTGGTCTAGAGGTTACGGTGTTCGCCTCTTTCTACATATGTATAGGTCCCAGGTTCGAAACCAGACAGCGATGGAAAATTTCCTTCTCCGAAGTTATGTCCTTTCACCTCCTGTCCTGCTCTTTAACTTTAATCATGTTCTGTCGTCTGCTTTTGTAACCACTTTCTGCCCCTTTGCCCCCTCCTCTGGGCTCTTGACTTTCTGCAGCCTTTCTACTGCTACTCCTTGGCTCCATCTTACTGTTGTCTTTCAGCCACACCCCTGATCTTATGGCTATGGTAGATAAGATCTGACACCTAGCTTTCTCGGAAAAGGGCGAAAAACCTCGGAGGTCCCACGTGCAAATTGTGCATGTTAAAGATCAGTTGATGGCCCTAAAATTGATGTACAAAGAGTAGGCTTCGGCCGCCATCCGGGCAAAATAAAAAATTCCTACTACACTGAAAATGTTTAATGTTTCCCACGCTCTCAAACTCATATATTGACCTTGTGCAGTTAGTTGCGAGCGTCATAAAATGTTAAAATATTTACCAAAAAGGAGAAAGGTTCCTAATGATTTTAAAATTTAAATCCTCTCGCAGGATTTCAAATTGTTTTTCATGTTGTAAGTGCATGTATTAAAACATGGTGGAATAGTATATATATATAGATCTATATATTTATTTATTTTTTACGGCACTCGCAACTGCATAGGGCCATATGATGAGCGCGCGGAACACACCTAACATTTTCAGTTGTTAGGAAATTTTTTATTTTGCGCGGGTGGTGGCCGAAGCTTATTCTTTTATCGATTTCGTACCACCAAGGGATCTTTAACATGCGCAACTTGCACATGGGACCTCCAAGATTTTTTGCCTTTGTCCGAGAAGGCTAGGTGTAGATCTTTCCTACCAGATCAGGAGTGTGGCTGAAAGACAGAAGTAGGAAGGAGCCAAGGAGAAGCAGTGGAAAGTGCTCGCAACTGCATAAGGTTATATGAGCACCAGAAGATTAGAGGTGTTACAAGAGAGTAACAAACATAAAAAAGAAGGAGGGGAGATAAGGACAATAGATGTTTGATAGGAAAGAAGAAGCAGCGTGTGGGTGGTTGGCGGGTGCTCTGGTGTGGTTTGCTTCCCATGGGTAGGTAGGACTGAACATCTAATCTTCTGGAGGAAAAAGCGGAAAACCAATGACCCCTGCCGAAAATTTGAAGCTGCAGTTGTCGGTATAAATATTATCATCATTTAGATTACTGGCATCTGTGGCGTCGTGGTTAGGCGCTGTTCCATGCATAAGTCGAGTTAGATTCTCGGAAGAGGAGAATTTCTATAGAATATAATTATAATACAGTGCAGCCTTTCTATAACTACACCGTCGGGACCAGAATGATAATGGCCACTTGTCCGTGACGCAGTGGAGGACTGGTCCTGCCTCTGTGTCACAAGAAAAAAATGTCGTTATAGAGAGTTGTCGTTATAGTAGAGAGGCAATTAAAAATATCACTAATATTATAATATAAGGAAATAATCAGGACCTGGTCACGTCGCTATACAGAGAATATTATTATATCGAAGGTCGTTATAGAGAGTCTTCACTGTATCTCAGTACTCTCAGTCTCTCTGCTGGGATACTGTATCTCTCTGGAAGGCATAGTTGAAGCCATTCTCTTAAATGATCTAAATATAAATTGTGTTGATGGAGGCATAAAGATCTTTCCAAGCACCTCCTCTGCCCTTATTGTTCTCTTGTCAGATCCTGACTACAAATGTCAAGTGTATAGATCTGCAAGACCTCACCCCGTCCTAAACATGCAAAAATCCATACAAAATCAAGGCATCCGCCTCACCCTGGGAACTTCCAGCACATCTCACGGCTCACGTGGAAAGCCTCCAGGCTTTGACCAGCACCCAATCCCTCAAAATCAGAATAGGAAGAAAACAATTAAATGTATAATGGCACTAGGTAGTAAAACAAAGCTCAACACTTCCACCACATGACTATATTTTTCAAACTAATTCTGACATAATAAATAATTTAAAACAAATAACACAAACTTGGCATCAAAATTATTAGGGCTTTTGGTCTCAGCAGAGTCTTGATATTAGAAGACCTCGAAAACATAACATTTCAGAAGAAGATATGGACCAATTTCTTTTTCATTTGACCTGTCCCCCATGGCACTTCACCAAGGCAAAAATAGACTTAGACTCTAACGATACACAATAAATCATGCACAACACAAAAACATTCAAAACTGCAAACAGAAAACTCATCAAACAATAACCTGACACATAGAAAATCTAATTTTAGTAAGAGTTTAAGGCACTTGCAACACAGCAGATATATAATATGTAGTAGGTCATGTAAGTGCTGAGGATTAGGTAAGAGAGAAACAAACACAACAAAGAAGGAGGGGAGACAACGATGATAGATATTTGATAGGAAAGAAGGAACAAAGCACTTCTTTCCTATCAAACATCTATCATCCTTATCTCCCCTCTTCCTTTTTTGTGTTTGTTACTCTCTTGTAACACCTACTCTAATCTTCACCGATGGCTGTAAGTTGGACTCAGCAGTAGGCACCCCTGCACTATCCACACTCAACCTGTCACAGTGGTTTTATGCACAAAAAAATTCTAAAATTGAGCAAACTGAGCCCAAAAATGTGAAATTATGCGATTATGATGAAAGATAAAGGAAAATAATAAGAAATTATGCAAAAAAATGATCAAATTTTGCTAAATTATGCGGGGAGCGTTAAACCCTGGGGACAGCTCAACATATGGGGTTTAATCCCAAGGCCTCTGTTTTTACTGCATAAAATCACCTTGCAGAGACCTTGTGGTAGAATGCTTTATATCACAGTTCACAATTGACTGTGAGGTAAACGAACAGACAGGCAGGAATTACGATAGACCACATTATCATGGTGGACTGGTACCATGTACCCATACAAAAAAACCTGACTTCTAATACTGACACCTATTTACTGCATCCATTTTTAAAAAGACGTTTTTATAATTTGAGAAAGGAAAAATATCACAACCCACAAAAACAATAACTCAGTCATGTTTACCATCATTCATACAATACTTGTGTGACAGACAAGTAGCAAATGAAAGACACAATAATAACTGACACTATAAAATAAAGCAATAGCGAAGAACAGGATGGGGGTTTAATTAATTTATACAGAATTCTCCACGTAAGATCCCATTGCTTACTATCCCAGTTCACTTAAGATCCCGCGGTTTTAAGAAAACAATTTCTACAACACAAAAGTCACACCAAAGATCCCGCTCTAAAGGTCTACATTTGGCTAAGATCCCGCATTTTAGATCATAATTTATGGAATAAAAACTCGGACAGGCACAGCAGACCAACCAAAAGTAAAAATTTGCAACCATTGTTGTGTCACTGATCAGCCACTCTCGTGAATGTGATCACATGTCTGTTGTAAATCTCAATGAAATGGTAATGTTTGCCCCAGACGGGATCACACCAAGATGTGAATTCACTGAAGCGTTTGTTTACCTCAAACATCGCACTCGCAAAAAAGCTCTCCACCTAAACTTACATCATACTCTGGGTGGGTTGGACCTACAAGTACGCTCCAGGCGGGATCACATGGAACTGTGAACTCTTCACTGACCATAGCAACAGTTGTCTCTTCTCCTGAATCTGTGAGACAGAATGAATTTTAATTTATGTGGTCACAACACAATGGTGTGTAACAGCATATGCAGGGAACTCGGTCAGAGATAGAAAGCTATAAACTTCGGACAGGTAAGGGGAGGAGCAACTGGATAATTGCGTAGATCTTGAGACTCATGATAGTAGGCTACATGTACCGGGTATAATAAATGAAAATGGCATGCCTCAAGCCAATGTGATAGGTCATCAAGGTTGACCACTCTTTACTCGCCAGAAGTCATAAACCCACCCAGGGGTCACGCAAGTTCATTTTACACTAAAGGGTGACCATTTTACTGGTTTTAAAAGGATCACAGCGAAGAATCATGAAGGTTAATTATTTTCTGAGTTCTCGTATTATGATAGTGAAAAAGTCCCCTGTCTCTGGTTGTTTATGAAACAGAACAGTCAACGAGCTTGTACAGAAAAGACATATAAACAGTGTGGCTGGTAACAACATAAAGTACTGACATGTGTTGCATCGGGGTGAAATTGAAATCAGGCGCTCATCAAAAAAATAAAACTGAAGAATAAACAGGCATTTATCCGTTGGACAATTTTTATCGAATTTTTTTTCGTTTTGGCTCCACACTTTCTGTGTCCCTAAAAAAACATATTTCTTTGTGGATTTCAATGTAAACGTTGACGAAAGGTACGAAAAATGTACATTTGCTGTTTTCAAGGACACTCAAGTTTTAGGAAGTCACCACACTTTGTCAGCCATTTTCTCACTAATTCTATCTCTGACACAGACACAAGGTAACCCCCACCCCTATCAATCACAAATATCCTGACTTCTACTTCTATTCAAGAAAGACGGGTATTATTCCCTATCAAAAGCAAGAAAAATGAACAAGCTTTAAGATGATGCCAATGTAACTCGATACTCCATGTGCCCCAAAATTGACAAGCACCTGATTCCATCGCATCGTGACATATACTTCAACTATACTATGGTATTCTGTACAAAAATTCACCATCCTCATTATAGATAGAGTTTCCATCTTGATAAACAATTCCTTGCTTGAGGTGCTTCCTTTTAGAAGAATCCTGAGAACTAAGACCTTTTACACATAATTTGTTAGGAATTTTAACATTGCTATCTGGTTTATGGCCCCCAGGTTGTTGCATAAAGTCTTCAGCACTGTTTCCAACGTCAGGTTTTGCTGCCCAATGCCGTGGGGGTGTAAAAGACCCATTTGCAAAGAATTCAGAAACCTCTGTAAGAACTTCTGACAATGTTTTCATCTCCCCACCAGTGATGAAACCTGTTTGTTTAGATTTATCTGATACAGAACTTTCAGCCCAACAATCTTTAACGATATCAGAAAAAGGTCCTTTCACACCGTCATTTTTTTTCATAGGGAAGGGTAAATCCAATCGTCCATTTGCATTCAAGATCAGGCTTTCGTTATCAGAACTAAAGAATCCCAAGTAGAGCATCTTTGAAACTGCTTCATCTTCATCCTCAAAAGATTCTAAAATTCCGGACCAGTTCCTTTGTATGTCACTGTCATGCCTTTGTATATCTTCAGTTCTATGAAGGCGAACTCTTGATTTCAGAATTTTGACAATACTTTCTTCAGACACGGGAAAAGAGTCAGCTAGTGCCTGGACAGTCCATGTCTCTGGGTCTCCACGATTCAGAAACCTTATTTGTTCCTTAGCTCTCCAGGTTAGTAAGTTCAAGCTTTTCCTTTTCTTGAAGAACTTTTTCTCTATTGTCTTGAAACGGATCTTCTTACTTGTGCTGATCAGAGCTCTGAAATGACAAACAAAAGAGAATTATAATATAATGTATCACACTAGCAACAAAAAAAAAGAAACAAAATATGGTCCAACACATTTCTGATTAGTGTTCCAAAATTCAAACACAATATCTAAACAGTATCATCAATATTGTTGTAAAAATTCTGTCACTTACACTTTCCCCATTGGCGCCTGTAATGTAGCGATTAGTGTTACACGCTTTGCTGTCACACACAGGAGACCGTAGTGTGATTCCAGAGTGTGGAAAAATTTTTTATCATGTATTTGGCATTTCTGCTGGGATGCTGTATTGTTCTCTCAGCCCCCGTTGGCCCTGACAGGCAGGGTCGGAGACCTACTTCCTAAATTATCTAAATACTGCATCGATGGGGACCTAAAATCACCTACAATTAAAACATATTAAAAAACCCACTTTCCTTTGTACAAAAAACATAAGCAAAATATATTTAAAATAAAGGCTTCACTTCAACCACTTTATACATTACACTGCATAAGAAACGAAGCAAAAATAAACTATCTTTATCTTCTCTTGGGTATCAGTATCTCGTTTAGCTCATATATTCCATCACTGAATTATAAACAAGAGATATAACCAGGACCCCAAACAATAGGAGCTCTCTAAAATGTGAACCTTGAAATAGGTTTAAGAACCCACTGTTTTGTTTATAAAATCGATGACCAGGCACAACGTACTTAGGTGGCGACCACTGTACATGCTATAATAACACCTGTACATATTATAGTGATAGAATCATAGAACTATACAGAGGAAGATGGAGGGATGGAAAATGCATTGCACTAAGATACAAATTCCTAAAATGCCTGTGGATGATAAGCAAGGAAAAAAGTCAACATCTCACTAAACTGATTCAGCCCGTAGATCATTTTGAATCCGGTAACTTGTGACCACTTCGTGACCTTACGGGTGGTCTCACAAAAAATGAATAAAGAAATATATATATAAATTAGATAAAAACCCTAAGTATGGCGATATAAAAATGTTCAGAATACAAAATACTATTCAATGACACCAGAAAAAAGGGTTTAAATGTAAGCAGTTAGGAAAAAAAGATGAGAGGCAAATGATGAGAAGAAAAGGGAGCTGAGCGGCTCTGTGTCAAAACACAGGAGGCAGTCAGCGGTTGTGAGCAGCGCTACGAGCTGAATCAGTTAAGGTCAATCACACACACAAAATTAACAGCCCTTGCATCCCCCCCACCCCCACCCCCACGTTTTTCTCTATGTACTCTTTAGTTCAAATTTGTCATACAATATGATGCTGTGGACATCATTCAAGTACAGTTTAACCTGTCCAAGATGGAATCGCAAGGGAGCCAGAAAAAAATTTAAGCCATAGACATTTTCTGTCTTGGATAGGGAAATTAAGGGGGAGGGGGTTCCCAGTTGCAAGTCAGAGGGCCAGCCCATAGCCGGTGAGATCAAGTAAGGGTCATCTGACCGGTCAGCAAGCCATGGTCAAAACTTCACACTTTCCAAGTGCCGGTCTAGTCTCTCTGCTGATATTGGCATGAGTTAGTCTTAAATATCCATTGTCACTAGTTCTTATATCCAATAGGACCACTGTTTGACCAATTAAAAATAAAAAAAATTGAATATTTCCATTGTTTCTACCCTTTGACCAATTCATCAGTGTAATATTAAGCACAATCAAACAAGGGCATCCCATCCATGTACAAAACAATGATTCAAAGAACTTTTTTCTTGGCCGGTTGTATGATCAGAGTGGCAGGCATTGGTCAAACCAGTTTCACACCTTTGGCTTCCCAGGAAAGTTTCTGTGCTGGAGCGCCATTCGAGCACTTTCACAAGCAGTGGTGAGATTTCACATTCATACCACGACGACCACCTGCAACGTTCCGGACACACATGGATAGGATAACAGCTACCCCCAAGCTGCATCCGTTTTCCCCCTTCCTCGCCTGGAGAGTGGCATAAAGGTTATTGCCGATGGAAACAAACATAGGAGTTTTGTTTCAAATCAGGGCAGAGTTGGCAAAGCATTTTCTGTCTTTGAAAGGTCAAAACTCTACAAGAGGATGGAATTTCTCTTCCCGTGTAGGGGTTGAACAGGTTGACGTTTTATAGAGGTAATTATAATGGAATTTATCGAAGGGAATCGGGAGATTCCGTTATGATAGGTTTCTGTCATGGACAGTTTCCATTGAAGCAGGTTCAACTGTACATGTAATTCAAAGTGGGTTTTTTTTTCTTAATTCAGAAAGTTTTTGAAAGGCTTATTTATAGAGAGAGATGTTCCTTTTTATTCTCTTCAGGGGAGCCCTTACACACACTGCCCCTCACCTAAATAACACAATATAATGATATGTGTCACAATGCAGAGGAATCAGGCACTCCTCAATTTTTGGGGATGTGGAGATATTGGTATCATTTGTAAGCTTATTCATTTGCCTTGCTTTCACCAGAAAAATATCCATCTATCTTGAACAGAAGTCGAGATATTTGCGATTGAAGGTGGTAGGGTCGCTTGGTTTCAGTGGTAAAATTAACTAGAAAATGGCCGCCAAAGTTTGGTAACATCAATAGGTTCAGAGTCTTTGAAAACGGAAAAATCCCATATTTTGTGCCTTTAAAAAACGTTTTTCAGTAAAATTCACGTGGAAATGAGTTTTTACATGTGGACATAAAATGTGTGGAGCAAAAAAACAAAAATTCAATACAAATTGCCAAACTGGCAGAAAAATGCCTGTTTCTCCAATTTCATCATTTTGACAAGCGCCTGATTTCAAACCTCGATGTCTCACACATATATATATATATATAAGAACATACAATTAATTACACACACACATACATAGATCCATACTGGTTCAATCCACTTTTGGCATTCACCTCACCTTTCAATTCATATTCTTGAAAATTCATTCCTAAAACTGTTATCTCTACAAAATCACACTTTGTCCTCTTCAATAACATATAGGTAGAGTCAGCAAATAATATTGTTGACTCTTCATAATTTTCATATAATAGCCCTCCCACAAACAAAAATAGGGAACAGGAACAAAACTCACGAGCATCACACACTGAACTTTGTGAAGACCTGCGCACTTTACTATGATTTACTAGTTGTCAAATAAACAGGGTGTTATTCTTTGAACCCCATCGGATACTGTGAACGTCCGGCGGTAATAACCCTGTTCCCCATCGGACGCTCAGTACTAGTGACAACGGTTTCGTTTTATTTAGTTCTAGTTCTGGCTTGTTTTTGGGAACTATTCCCCAACCAAGTTTTTAGTAATGACTAATTGAAGCCTTTGTTCCTGCTATTTAGAAGTTGGAGGCAAGCTTTTGGGGTTATAATGAGACATAGTGCACTAGGTTTAGGTGACTGCAGAAAAAAACTCAAGGAAATGGTAGAAAAAACTCAGGGCTTAAAGAGTTAAGTGACCTGTTGTATGTTACTATTGGGAAGCAAAAAAGCTCAAAGTCAGACCCATACTCCTTGGCTCTTTCTTACTTCTGTCTTTCGGCCACACCCCTGATCTTCTGTACGGTAGGAAAGGATCTACACCTAGCCTTCTCGAACAAGGGCGAAAAATCTCGGAGGTCCCGTGTGCAAGTTGCGAACGTTAAAGATCCCTTGGTGGTCTAAAATCGATAAGAGTAGGCTTCGGCCTCCACCCGGGCAAAATTCAAAATTTCCTACCAACTGAAAATGTTTAATGTGTCCCGTGCGCTGATATGACCTTATGTAGTTGCGAGTGGCGGAAAACACTTATCAAAAAAAAAAAAGTCAGACTCTAGGCCACAACATCAACATGGCTTTGCCAAATATATTGTACATTAAAGTTTAAAGCTTTCCTACAAATTATCAATACAAGCATACTGGTCAGATTTATTCCCAGATAAATTGTTCTATACTAGTAGTAGTAATGTACATGAGAAAGTGTGTGAGTTGTATGCGTGTAGTGTGAGTGCGTGTGAACACACGTGTGAGTGTACACACATGTGGTTGTGTGTGTGTGTGTGTGTGTGTGTGTGTGTGTGTGTGTGTGTGTGTGTGTGTGTGTGTGTGTGTGTGTGTACACGTGCGTATGTGCCAGTGTGGATGTTGAACTAAATTGTCTCACAGTGTGTATCTTTGATCTTTTGATTTTTCAGTATTCTGCACTGTGCGAAGCTCAGAGTGTAAAAGCCCCCACTTGTTAGGGATTTAAAACATTATTATTATAAATCCACAGTAGTATTATCACTATTATCTCTGCCATGCCCTGGCTCTTATCCGCTACTCGAACTGCCAAGTTGCGGTCATCCCCAATCACTATAATAGGCCTATATCTTTCACCTATTCCCTGACTATAAACTCTGATAGAATATTTAGGCTGAGTCCATACACAAGCAATTGGATGCACAGTAAGTAAAATTTTGCTATACTAACAAAATTACATGCAAAGTATCATAGTTTGCTATACGCACGAAATTGTTTGTAAAGGCTAACCTGTGTAAAACGGCCACCTATTGTTAAGGAGAAAAGTGGCCGTGGCGTATAACACAGGAGGCTGTCTTAGGCAGGACTGGTCGAAATGAAGAAAGCAAATCATTCTCTTCTGAGGTCCAAACCCGGGCTGATCTCAGACTTTAGACTACTATAGGGCTAATTCAAAAGGGTTTTTGTTTTCTTTTAAAAAAGGGGGGTGGGTGGTGTAAGAAGTGTTTTTTGTGTTGTTTTGATGAGTTGTTTCTTTTGGTAAGCTTTTTTTTTTGTTGCTGATTTTGTGCAAGGATAGAATAAACGAAACATTGCGTAAGTAAGACTATAAAGACCGAGTGCCATGGTAAAACAAACACACGGGTCGCCACCACTCAGAGAATGAGCTATGCTTCTGTTGCAAGTTCATGTCAATGTCCATTACTACTTTGTTACAGATTAGGTAAACAAAACAGTGACCAGTCACCTCACACACGATCTGTGCATGAGTTGTGGGCGGGGCTTATAGTTATGACTTTAGTTTAGAGTAGGCGTTGGTTATGACGCACCATGCTTCCCTCACCAGCTAGAAAATGTATTGTTAGGCCAACCCATTGGTCAACTTGGGAACATTCACTGGAGGGACTAACAATAAGATCAGGTGAATGGATTATGATGGCCTATCCACAGCGTGAGGGGCTGATTCAAAATTCCTGACAAAGCATTGGGCAATGGGAGACCACGTCTGGCCGCCTGAGGCAGGTAAATTTGACAGAGGGTTGATAAAATAAGGTGCTCCCCCCCCACCCCCCCAATCCTTTTTCCTTTTTTTCCCTTTGGTTCTTTTATGTGTGGATTAATTTGGGTTATAAATCTTTTAACAATCTCAGCAATTCTCGTTCCATAAATTTAGTCTGTACCAGTACCATTCTGTACCTCCTATTTTCATCCCCAAACAAAGTTGTGCACACACAAACGCACACATATACACACACCCCAAGCAGTCAGAGATGAATCCAACCTCTTATCGCCTATCTAGTGACGTAACCCATCCCGCACTAAGCAGCAAAGCAGGCCCGCCACGACATGGACAAACGCCCAGAGACGAAGTGCAATATCTTGGTAATAGATACACTCTTTTTCATTACAGCACGGAATTGCATGCATAGCAAAATATGATACCTAGCACGCACTTGCGTGCGTATAGCAAAAAAATGTATTGGTGCTCGCAATTGCGTTGAAAAGCAAAAAATGAGTTGGTGCATGCAATTGCGTGTGTACAGACACTCACAAATATTTTATAACTATTTTAAAAAACGCAGTGGCTAGGTTCACGGCGCCGTGAATGTAGTTGGCTGGCGCTGTTGAGGCTACGTTCACGGCACTCAAGCTTCGTTTAGACGGAGCGTCCACTGCCGGTTTTAGTCAGTGACTACAGTGACGTTCATATTTTGGCCAGCTTCAAATGTTCCATCCCATGAGACGAAGGAAAACGAAAAAGCCTGGGAACCGACACAGAGAGAAAATGACGGGAAGAATTCTTATCATAATAGCAAACACCCTCTCTCTCTTTCTGTCTGTCTCTCCCCTTTCTCTTTCCTTCTCTCTTTCTCTCCCCCCCCCTCTATTTTCTCTGCCTCTGTCTGTCTGTCTGCCCCCCCCCCCCTTCTCTCTCCCTCTCTCTTTCTCCCCCCCCCCCTCTCTCCCTCTCTCTTTCTCTCCCCCCCCCCAACCTTCTCTCTCCCCTTCTCTCCCCCCCGCAACCTTCTCTCTCTGCCTCTCTCTCTCTCTTATTCTCTCTGTGAGTGTGTGTGTATGTGTGTGTGTGTGTGTGTGTGTGTGTGTGTGTGTGTGTGTGTGTGTGTGTGTAGTGTGTGTGTGTGTGCGTGTGTGTGTGTGTGTGTGTGTGTGTGTGTGTATGTGTGTGTGTGTGTGTGTGCGCGCGTGCGTATTATGTCTTTGGCCCAGAACGAGATATTCATTCTTTCATTCAAACTATTTGCAAGCGTATTTCATATCATGTATACACTTTTATACAGTAAAGAGATAAGGAAAGTTGATAGCACGGTTATTTTTTGAAAATTTCTTGCAACTACGAGACTCGTATGTTCAATGCCCTTCAGAGCTTCCAAAACACCAACAACGAAGAGCTGAGCTGAGCAGAAAACTAATGAAGATTGAAAAACAGAGCAGTTACAAATGCCTCACAAAACCTGGACGTAACAGTTACTTGTGTTCATTAGTTTTAATTTTGTTTTTGTTCAGGAGCTGTTGGTTTCTTACCGAGCTCGAAACCTCTTTTGCGCACAGACCCTGTACGATTTTGAACATCTGTCAGTGAGGAAGAGAGGCCACGAAACTGTCATGGTTTTGGGTGGCCTGGGGTGAAATGAACAAAGCCGCTCTCGTGAGAATCACCGGATGCCTTGGTTAAGTGGACTACATCGCGCAAGTGCTGGAACGTCATGTCTTACCCTTATTTTCGTCACGGTGTTATTCAAGTAGTCATCCCCATGCGAAACACGGCATTTTCTCATAGGGCCAATGCCATTACAGATTTCTTAAAAAACTAAATCAAGTCAACGTTCGAATAGTTAGCAGCAAACAGCCCCGATATGAATCCTACAGGTATGTGAAGTCCCAAGAAACAGCGGCTGAAGAAAAACGACTTTGCCCCCAATTCAGACCCTTTGTTTGCAACTCTCTGTGACATTTGAAATGAAGTGACTGATAAATATATCCCAAACTAAATTGAATTGATGCCCAAAGGTTTCGTGCACAACACAAAGCCAATGGTTCCTAAGCAAAATAACAATGAACACAATTAGTGTTGAGTCGAAGTTTTGTGTGGTATCTCAAGTATCTGTGATTGCTCTGTTTTCCGTTATGTTTGAAACTATCGTGACAAAATATTGTAATAGAATATTGTTTATTGCAAAGACACAATTCTCCATTCATTGGGCATTCAATATATCGCTATTCGATCAATATTGATACTCTTCAATAAATGCGCAAAGACAATTTTACGTTTCTTTGATTTCGCACAATTTTGCCAAGCCTTATTTTTTTAAGGTCAAATTTGAGTGACAATATCTCGGCGTCTCTTAAAATAGATTAAATATTAATGTGTCAGATGATGAAGAATTTATTTAGCATTAAATTGGTATGCTGCATGAGTGGGTAATGCAAGGCTTTAACACGATGACTGGGTGATTACATTTTCAAGTTTCTTTTGGACGCCACGGTATAACGTACTACGTTTACAGTAAGTTTTGCACGTCCAAACTTTTAGGAGTTTTCTCTCAAATTGGGCTCTTTCAGGGGGGTGGGAGGGGGGGGGGGCACAAAAATATATCATGCGAAAAGTTGTTAAGATATCGTCATAATTTTCGGTATACTGATAGATGAAACATTTTTCTAGTGTAATAAGTAGTGACGTCCAAAAAAAAAATCTTGAATAAATGATTTTATTATAAATTTAATCCGTTGTTTGGATCTGAGATTTTTTAGGTAAAAAATTCCCATATTTAGGACCTCGATTCTGGAAAAGCTTTTCCTCCTACATTAAAAATGCCAAGTCCATCCTCTAAAACAGCCACGGAAGGCTGCAAAACCACTTATTGTAACATTTAAAATCATTTATAACCTTATGATAGATTTTTTAGAAATGTGAGCATTTTCTATATATATGACATTCTAATATGACAGGCGTTACCATAGCAATACAAAAGAATTTTCAAAATTTTACTTCATGACTTAATTCTCCACTCTTTTTATATTGATGCTACCCAATGATGCTACCACATTTGTAAGCAATTTCAAAATTTCCCAGCATCATGCCTTAAACCGGCAGTGGACGCTCCGACTAAACGAAGCTTGAGTGCCGTGAACGTAGCCTCAACAGCGCCTGCAAACTGCATTCAGGGCGCCGTGAACGTAGCCTGCCAACTACAATCAGGGCGCCGTGAACCTAGCCTGCAGACTACGTTCACGGCGCAGTGAACGTAGCCACTGCGTTTAAAAAATTGAATTTATAACTCAAATATTTCATATGATTGTGAATTTAGATTCTACCAGGGAAGAGCTTTTATGTCTCATACTCATAGGCTACATAAATGTTATTTAGCTTTATAAACTTTTTGATTTTACCTCATATAATTTTCTTTGAGTTCCACAGGGTTCCCGAGTGTGTTTACTGAATTTTCTACAGCAAGGCTGTCAGTAAAAACATCTTCATCAACCAGTCTCATTTCTTCTAGAAAACGGGAAGACTCGATGCGCCTCTGTTGTCTTTCCTTTTTCCTGCTGTCATGACGCGGGGTCAGAGATCTTAGAGATGCTAAAGGTTCAGTTCGTCTGGTTCTGACGTTCTTCACCCGCTGAGGGAATAGCAGTGGTAAATCGTCTGTCTTGTCTGGCCTCTTGCTACTGTATGAACAACCTTGATTCTGAACAACAATTTTTTTGCTGCAGGGCAAATCAAACTTGCGCACAGTATACATCAGTCTAAAGCATCGTCTGAAGAGAGGCTGGGCCATTTCATCAACGTTCAAGTGCAGTGTCTGTCCACTGCGCGCACCTAAACAAACCAAATGAGGTCAAAAGTGCCTTGCTATTGACATGTTGTGTGTTCCGAATGGCCCACTCACTCGTGTGTAGTGTGTACGCCTAGCCAAGGTGTGCGGAGAAGGGGTGGGTGGAGGCAACAGGTTAGGCTAGTTAGCCAGAGTTACTTTCCCTTTATTGAGCAAACAAACATGTCAGCCAAAAGTAGGGTTGCGAAGAAGGAAGAGTGAATGCCTCCAGGGATCGGTACGGATTTCGGACATGGCGAAAAGATTCAAGGCATATCTCAATAATTTTGAGATGAAGGAGAAAGGAAAAGCGGTGAGTATGAACCTTTGGCTTCGATAATTTTGATAATGGATGGAATAGATAGAACAATGATACAACTCGTCTGACAACCATCCATATTTTGTGTCAATTTCCCTTTTCTTTCATGAGCATGGTTTTATGTGCCCCACCCCCAGGTTCAGGCCAGGTTTGCTGTGTTGAAAGTTTTTGAGCGCTGTAACAGAGTGCATGCGTTCATATTAGGCTGATTATTTGAGTAAAATTTCATAACGAAGTAGATCAAGTTTTGTTATCACCACGAAAGGAGACAAACGGTTTTCTTCCATTCAAACTTACAATACATTTGTCACACTATTCTACTACTGACTGTACTATCTTCTAGTTCTAGGATCTAGATCTAGACAATTCACTACTAGAATCTAGATCTACTACTAGATTCTACTACTACACCACTATCATGACATAGATCTAGATCTAGATCTAGATCTAGATATCTAGATCTAATAATAACTGTCTCACACTTAATTCTCAATGTATGTTGTTTTGAATTATTATAGAGTAGAAGAGAGATCTGTCTGCTATTATTCTGAAGAATGTTCGACTGAATATCTAGCCTACTGATATTCAGTTTAAATTAAACAAAGTGGCTATTCGGACTCGAGCCTGAATAGCTTCCCGTGGCTATATGGACTCAAACTCCAATGCTCGGTATTATCCTGATTTTATTTGAACATAATGTAAAGTATACTGTTAGAAAAGCTTTTCCTTTAACTATAGACCACTGTTACTTTGAATGACTGTTGTTCCCTTTGGAAGGGTTTTAACTTAATTCCTGACTGGACTTCCTATTATTGATCAATGATTTTTGTCTTTCTCGTCCAATGAAGCGGGTTCAGACTACCTATTGATAGAGTTATAATCCTTTGTTGTTCTGAAACTTTTTTTCACTGCTTTGATCTCAGATTGCCATTTCCCTGTTTGCCTTTGTTGTGTAGTATTTCAGATTTTGCAACTGTTGTTCACTTTTGACATCAGTAATACTTTAAAATGTTGCCTGATCGTAGAAACTAAGGAAGGCCAAGGTCGAATTGCCTGTCCGCTTCACATCTGGTACACTCGTTGTTTGCGCGTGCGCATATGAGTTTTGAGTCCGAATAGCCACGGGAGGCTATTCAGACTCGAGTCCAAATAACCGCTGCCTTCAGTTAAATCTAGTTTAACTTTCCCAGTCTTATTATATCAACTTTTAGTAGAGCTACTGTTACTACCTACTAGATCTATCTACCACTGAAATATAGCTGGTTCATTTTCGTCTGTCTGCATCAAAACATTTCTATCATATTGATTTGCCAGTTCGAATGTAACTTTGCATGGCACTTCTGAAGGCCAGCGACCACACAAGAATCTTTTTTTAAAAATCCTGATCCAGTGATTGAAATGTTTCTGATATATATTACACACATGTTATCATATTGGATTTACAGTAAAACAAAGCCTTCAAATTGGACAGTGACACCACCATTCCCCCACATTTCAGTATCAAGATCATTTCATAGAGGCGTGCGTTAAAGTGTGAGGTCAACTTTTTTAAATGTTTTTTTTTAAAGTGTACTGTAAAACCCCTATTATTTTTTAAGTACTCTTTAGGCTTACGTCAAAGGAAACAGGTCAGATCCTTTGTTTGCAGTGACCTTCATTATTAATGGCCTTTTACTACTTTTAGATTCTGTTGGTAATGCAACTTTTAGACTCCAATGCAAAGACCTGGGAAGATTAAAGAGAGCAGTATATATTTGTTTTTATCTCATTTTAACAACTGCTGACAGACAAATTAGATAGAGAGCCTACTGAAGTGGTGGTTTAGATTCTCTACCTCTACTTGTTTACCCCAGGGACAAATGTAGCGTAAATCCCAATGTATGTACATTTTTAAATCTTAGAAGAAAATCTCATCTTGAGAAGCATCAATGTATGAATGTGGGCTCCTCAGTCAAAAGAAGTCAACTGCTGAGTAGAGTTTCCATTCCCACATCTTTGAATTTGCTTTGATGGATACATTGCCTTGATTTGCAAATGCAGTTGACTGATTGTACCAATACCTTTGGAATGACTACTACAAATCTTTGAGCTGTGCCTTTTTTTTTTTACACAAGGTGGAAAACCTGCCTTCAGGGTACCTTCAAGCGCTTTTAAAGTCTATAACGGCATCATCTAATAAACAGGGAGTGTTCCGTCATAAATCCATTTTTGAAAGACAGCGATAAGATAATTAACAATGTTATCACGCTTTGTTCTTTTGAAAGGTCAGCCCTTACCCACATGCGGGACCTTGTGGCTTCTGATAAACATGTGACCAGTGATATATATCCCGACATTTATTTCTTCCTCTTTTTCCTTTCTTACTTTGACTGAGCAGTTGCTGGGTTATCATTGACAGGTTTTTTTTGTTGAGTTCACATGAATCGTTTTAATTCTTTTTTCCCCATTCATTCTCACCTATCAGGGACAAGCAAAATTTCAAAGACAAAAGTCAACTAACATAAATTTTGCAAGTTTTTGGAAACCAATACTATATTGTATCGACATTTTATGTGTTCATTTAAGACGTTGGCATTGGTAGTCTAGTACTCAGACTACTGAACTTGTAATCATGAGGTTGCAGATTTGAGGGTTTTTATGGCTGAGCTCGGCCCAAGGTTGTGTCCTGGGGAAATGTATTTTACGCAAATTTTCCACATTTCACTCAGGTGTGAATGGGTACCATACACAGACAGCAAAAGATCTTGTCATTTATGTCTTAGCGCCTGTACAATGGCAGCATGCTCCTATCAAGTCTGCTGGGTTGAAGCACATGGAGCTTGCTATTCAGCAGGAATATTTGTTGTACGGTTTTTATTTTTATTTATTATTATATAGAGCGCTGACTGACTAACGGGCAATTGTTTTTCTCTCAATATTGTACTTGGTTAATTGTAGCTTGTATCTCGAAGGGAGTGGCAGTATCCTCTTTGCTTTTTTGTTGTTGTTGTTGCTGTTCTTGCTTTGTTTGGCTTTCATCTCTACTTTTTTACCTAATGAATAAATATGTGTATCAGTTTTTCATTTTATACTATTTTCATTGTGTTGTCAAGGATTAGGTCTACTTTAGTAAGGCAGACAGTAACTACAAAAGTAACAGACTGATCTGACCTGCTTATCACAATGCCTTCTCAATATTAGTATTAGTAATGTTTGATAAGTGGTCAACAGTCATTTGTAATTGACTTTTTAGTTCATGTTTTGGGTTTTTTTAATAATGAAAGTCACTGCTTTTATTTTTTGCTGTAGGTAAATGCACAAAATTTCAAAAAGAGAAATGGGCTAAGAGGTCAAATGCAACCCCCATCATGCCATTGGTATACATGTAGTGTGTATGAATAGGCTAGTCTATTATAGTAATACCACGGTTGATTTTTTTCTCCCTGTGGGATGATTCATTTGTAGTTTCTTCCGACTTGCTCTGCATCACCAAAAAAAAACTCACCAAATTTGTTTTCTTTAGATAACCAAAGCCTTTCTCTTATATATATCTGTATTTAATTACTAAAACAACTTTCTCAAAAATTTTTAATGTGAAGTATGTAATCAATGTTCAAATAATCTGCAGGTGATCGATAGTGTACTTTTGAGGATAGCAATGATGAATATTTCATTTACAGAATTAAAAATGCTCTTGAAAATAGTATAAAGTTTTCTTTTAGCCAAATTCTTTGAAAGAGTTGCAAGGTTTCCAAGGTTGTGGACAAATCAGTGCATGAGATTTTGTCTCAATACCATGTGACTTTATGGTGATATTGGTGATAATCAAAGTGACGGGGAATGTAATGTAAGCGATAATGAATCTGGTGTGAATAGAGTTTTGAGCCAGTTCAACCATCACCAACATTCAAAAGAAGAAAAAAGGAACAAGTGAAGAAAAAAACCACTCCTCTTCCTCCTCCTCCTTCTCCATGTCCTCCTCCCTGCCCTCCTCGTCCATGTCCTCCTCACTGTCTTCCTTCTTCTTCTTCTTCTTCTTTTCTTTTTCTTCTTCTTCTTCCTTCTTCTTCTTCTTCTCCTCCTCCTCCTCCTCCTCCTCCTCCTTCTTTTTCTTCTTCTTCTCCCATCCATCTGTCGTTTAAAATTCTATTTTTTGTATCAGTTAAGAATTTTGTGGCAGTTGCCTTTTGTTTGCTCTTCAGTTTTGAAGGTAACACTTAGTATTAGATTTATGTCGTTTGCAAGTTGCAAATGATGTCCACGATAGTAAAAACAGACCAAAAGCAAACAATTTTACCTCATGTTGATTCTTCTGTAGTATGAATGGGCACGTATATCTTCTGTGCTATGCCATGCCTGGATTCACTGTGAGGAGTGGGCTAAAGAAATTTTTTTAGGGCAAAAATATACATTTCTTTTTCTTTTTCTTTCGTTTCCAAATAAGAATAGTCCTACAAATTTCTGTTGACTGTAATAAACAGATCAAAAGTACGGATTAAGAGTACTCTCACACCCCTAGTGTGCAGAAGACATGAATCTGATTCTCTTGTGGTAAATGATATTTTTTTTAATCAAGTATTTCTGTCTGTCTGTTGGGATGTTGTATCCCCATCTTTCTAGTTTGTGCCTGACGGATATGGTAGAGCAGCCCTCTTCCTAAATTAGCTCAATTGTGTTGCTAGGAGTATAAAACATTTATAATTACTATGACTGTTTTGTGACCCACAGATTAAGTTAATGACTTTCACTTTCAGATATTGCTGTCAGTTGTTTTTCCAAGCACTTTTAATAATATGTATGTGGGATAATATCTAGCAACAATAGT